TTTTTCAAAGATAGACTTGAGGTCCGGGTACCATCAGGTAAGAGTTAAGGAGGGAGATATTCCGAAGACAACATTCAGGACCAGATACGGGCACTTTGAGTTTCATGTTATATCGTTCAGTTTGACCAATGCCTCTGCAGTATTCATGGATTCGATGAACCGTGTGTTCAGGACTTTTTTCTAAGATCTATACGCAATCGTATTTATATATTGGTATATTTTCGTTCAGAGGCTGAGCATGGATATCACTTGCATACTGTGCTTAGAGTTCTACTAAAAGAGAAGTTGTATGCAAAATTCTCTAAATGTGAATTGTGGTTGACCTCTGCAGCTTTCCTTGGGCATATTATTTCGGGTGAAGACATCTGAGTGGATACATAAGAGACTGAGGCAGTAAAGACTTTGCCTAGACCCACAACACCGATGAAGGTTTGTAGCCTCTCCGTTTGGCAGGTTATTACCGGGAACTTGTAATTGTCTCGCTTAATGTACCAGAATAACATATGGAAATCTATGATGCAAGTAAGTTGAAGAAATATTGTGAATAAGTATAAATAGATATGTGTAGGTCGCAAGCTAAAGTATGGTGGAGCGACAAGGTTTTAGGAAGACACGAGGAAGGATAAGAAAAGATGAGTGAAAAGGTGATGAGAATGGATAAGTCTTTGGGGTTAAGCTCATAAGAGAGCTGATGGCTTCTCTAAGTTATAGAAGGCTTAGTATAGCCTGAATGAACTCAAAGGAGCCTAAAACTAGTAACATTTGGAATAGATGAAAAGTTTCCCTGGTAGTGGAATAAGGGCGTAATTGTGATAAATAGAGGATGAAGTTTGGGCCTTCGAAAAAGGAAAGTTCACGAATTATAAAAGATTATAAAACCCATGTAAGTTAACATAGAAGGGAGCTATGTTTCAATGGACCGATTCTTGCGAACAGAGTTTCCAGCCATTGAAGGACAAATTAACTTCAGCACCAGTTCTAACACTCCCAAAAGGGACCGATGGTTAGGTTATCTACTGTGATGCTTCAGGCATTGGATTGGGTTTGTGTTGATGCAGCATGGTAAGGTTGTAGCTTATAGACAACTAAGAAAGCATGAGAAGAATTACCCGACCCACAATCTAGAGTTAGCCGCAGTGATTCATGCACTAAATATGTGGAGGCACTACTTGTAAGGTATTCATATTGATATCTATACAGATCATATGAGCCTCTAGAACTTTTTCAAGCAAAAGGAATTGTATCTACGTCAAAGGAGATAGTTGGAGCTACTTAAAGACTATGATGTTGATATTTTATACCATCCGGGGAAGGTGAACGTAGTATCCAACGCACTCAATCTATGGGTAACCTGTCGTATTTACAGCTAGAAAAGAGGGGAATAGCCCATGAGGTTCATCAACTAGCTAGTCTTGGATTCAGTTACCGAACTCAGGTGACGTTAGAATTTCTCTTTAGGATACGAAAGTATTCTCTTTAGTAACTGAAGTAAAGGAACGCTAGTACGAGGATCCTATATTAATTCATTATATGGATACCACCCTTCAGAAGGAGAAGACGTCGTTTGAAATTACAGAAGATGGGATCCTTAGATTTCGAGGACGATTATGTGTGCCTAATGTTGCAGGGTTGCATCGGCAGGTTATGGGAAAAACTCACTATTATTGTTATTCTATCCATCCAGGAGCAACAAAGATGTATTATGATATCAGGGAAGTGTATTGGTGGGACGGAATGAAAAAGGATATAGCAGAGTTTGTTGCTCAATGTCCTAACTGTCAGTAAGTTAAAGTTGAGCATCAGAAACCCGATAGATAATTGCAGGCTATGGAAGATTCCGACGTGGAAATGTGAAGTAATCAATATGGACTTCATTGTAGGCTTACCACGTACCCAGCGTAAGTTCGATTCGATATGGGTGATTGTTGATAGGCTTACAAAGTCTTCCCATTTTCTGCCCGTTAGAACTACATATTCCTCAGGGGATTATGCGAGGCTTTATATTAAGGATATAGTATGAGTGCATGGTGTCCCTTTATCTATTATCTTGGATAGAGGAGCTCAATTTACAACTAATTTTTGGAGGTCCTTCCAAAGGGGATTGAGGACTTAAGTAAGTCTTAGTACAACATTTCATCTCCAGACAGACGGACAGGCTGAGCGTTCTATTCAAATACTGGAGGATATATTATGAGCTTGTGTAATAGACTTCAAAGGTAGCTGGGATGATCATCTGCCACTTATTGAGTTCGCATATAATAATAGCTACCATTTTAGAATTCGGAATGCTCCATACGAAGCTCTTTACGGACGAAAGTGTAGGTCGCTGATAGGGTGGTTCGATGTTGGGTAAACTATGTTAGTAGGACCAGAATTGGTACAACACGCAATCGAGAAAATTAAGCTTATACAGGAAAGGCTATTGGCAGCTCAAAGCCGTTAGAAGGCTTATGCGGATAATCGACGATGAGACTTGGAATTTCAGGTAGAGGACTGGGTAATCCAAAAGGTATCACCAATGAAATTTGTTATAAGGTTCGGAAAGAAAGGTAAACTAAGCCCTCGATACATGGGGCCGTAAAGGATTATACACAAAGTAAGCCAGGTTGTATATGAATTAGATTTGCCTTCAGACTTGGAGTCTGTACATCCAGTATTTCATGAGTTTATGCTCCGTAAATATATCGGAGATCCTTCCAGAATTGTGTTAGTTGACGACGTACAGGGCACAGAGCAGCTATCATATGAGGAAACTCCCATTGCTATATTAGACGGACAGATTCAGAGGTTGAGAACTAAAGACGTAGCTTCGGTGAAAGTACTTTAGAGAAACCACAATGTGGAAGAAGTGACTTGGGAGGCTGAGAAAGACATGAAGTCTAGATATCTCTACTTATTTCCTCCTCAAGAGAAGGATCCGACTGAGACATCATAACCTTAAAGTACGTGTATGGATTCTGGTGTTAGTTATTGTCATTGGTCATGTGAGGCACTATCATTATTGATGGTCGTGGTCCTATTTGGCGTTAAATTATTAAGTTTCTACTACAAGAGTTGGTTGTAGCATTGTTACCAAGGGCGACTCTGCTAAGATTATATAGATCCCGGAGAGTTAAACAATTCGAGGACGAATGTTTCTAAGGGGGGAAGGATGTTACATCTCGCATTTTCTTACGTTAAAAGTTTTGTCTTTAGTTAATTGATGTAAATTCGGGGATGAGATCATCTTGACGTTAACATACTTATGCTATTTATAACAAGTGATAAAGAAGTGTCATGAAGGATAAATGGTACACGAATTAAAGAAAACGAGTTTCATTGAAAGTAACCAATTTAGGATAAAATATGGGTCGAGCAATAATATCCGACAATTAGGAACTAGTACCATGCAAGGTACCATATGACCACGGTAGTATAATATATAAAGTATATATGAAGTATTTTAAAAATAAATAGAATTTTAAGTAATTTGTGGTAATTTTTTAATTATGCGGGTAATTGATTAATTACCGGATAACAGGATTACCCAGTTAACTAATAAGTGGATAAAAAAATTAATAAAATTAAACCCCCAAAAACATGGATAAAATCAACAAAATCAAGGCAATGACTCTTAAGGTCTACTATCCTAGGTGGCTATCTATAAGGCATCTGAATGATACAACTAAAAGAATTGTCTAATTCATGCTTTGGGGTAAGGGGCAGAACGTGATATTAAATCCCAACACAACAAGGAAACTTTACTTTCTTAGTTTGAAAGGTTAGAAGCTAATGAAATTCTTACAAGTCTTCATTCCAAGTAACTTTCATACATAAAAACGTTGAAGTCACAAGCTTTAGGTCCAATAAAAATTCGTTCAAATTTAGAAGCAAAGCTTCATTCGTTCATTTCAACATATTTCACAAAAGTAGGAGCTTCACTTCCTTCAAATAATTCAAAGAGCAGGTATGTTAAAGCCCTCCCTTCTTTCTTTTGGTATGATCCAAATTATACTGAAGAAACGAGCAAACACATAGTTTCCATAAATTACTCTATTCATAGAAATAGTAGGGGTGTCTATATTCTTGATTCCCCATGAGAATTATTATTATCTTCTATTCATGGGTCTCAGAATAATATGCAGTTGGAAAAGTTTATTCGGAAGGAATATTGAGATTATTACGTATTTTTCATGCATTTCACTCATGTGCATTGACCCATGACCAGATGGCATTATATACGCATATATATGTAAATATATGTATACGGGATATGGAAAAAGGATACGGTGTTATATACGCACCACCACCTGATCAGCTGATATATGTTGATGATGTGCCCACAGTGGCTGAGACGATATGATGGGATGCCCTCAGTGGCTTGATGATATTATGTACATCCATACCTATGCATGGCACACCATTTATATACACGTGCATGACATTATAAACGTTTCATAATTAAAAAGTTATTCAGATTTAAAGACGTGTTTCTATATTCCATGTTTCATCTATATCTTTTACGTATTAATTTCATGCCTTACATACTCAGTACATTTTCATATTGGCGCCCTAATTCACGGGGCATGCGTTTCAAGCCCACAGGTGTAGGTAGGCAAGCTGAAGGTCCCCCTTTTTAGGATCCCTGATCAACGAGAGTTGGCGTGCTCCACTTGATTCGGAGTTGCTTTTGATTTTCGTACGATATATATATATATATATATATATATATATATATATATATATATATATATATATATGGGTATGATGTGGCTCAGTCTTGTCTTTGTACAATTATGTTTCTATTAGAGGTCTGTAGACAGTATGTCTAGTTGGGTTGTATGTGGCCTTGTCGGCTTTCAGTTTTGGATGTACAGTTGTGTATGGCAGCCTTGCCGGCTCGCCCAATGTATTCTGCATGTATATGTACACTCAGGCACCCGTCGCGACCCATCAGTTTGGGTCGTCACACCACTGCCCTATTTGTCAAATCAACTCATGAACCACAACTTTCATTTTCTAGCTCAATATTTGTTTAGTTTTTAAACGATACAAACTCAAATTATACAATTAAACTTAAAAACATCATCTAGAACAACTTAAAAGATATACTGCAGTAACTAAACATCAGCAAACAAACAACATGTCAAATACGCAACAAATTCTCATTATCTAAAATCAAGAACAGGATAGAAAGAAATAAGAGAAACAAGATAAAATTTGGACCTTAAAGGGTTTTCGCCAAATAGAAATTCGGATCTAATTTTGGAGCGCAATCGGAAAATCAGCAAAAAACCAACGAACTGAAATCCGATAAACTGAAATTCAACTGCAATGAACCTCGAACCGGCAACCAAAATCAGTAAACTTCCAAACCTCAAGCAAATACCATGATTTTTGATACGAAAACCGAAATAAAAAATGAAGAAAACAGAAGCTCATTTATATATATATATATATATATATATATATATATATATATATATATTTGTTTCAGATCTGTGTTCACAGCTCTGTGTGTAAGTGTGGTGGACGCTGCTAGAGTTCGTTGAAGAAGAAGGAGAAAATGGCACTTCTTAGCTGAAGGGGGGTCTGCCGGCGTGGTCCTTGAGAGGAGTTAGGGCAGTTGTTCTTTTTTGTATTAGGTTGATGATCGCTACTGGATTCTGGGGTGTGCTTAAAGATGGAGATAGAGAAAGGAAGGGAAGTGGCAGGTAGCTGGTTGTTGTGGGTGTCTGCCGACGGATTTTCGGCGGGTTTGAGAAGAATGACGGTTGTTGCTGGTGTTCTTGTTGATGGCGGCAGGTTGGTGCGACGAGGATTTGGAGTCGCTGGTCCTTTGAGAGGGAATGTTCAAGGTGAACGACGCGGGAGTTAGAGGATCGTTCCTAAGGGTCCATGGCTGATGGCTCTCTAGGGGTTTTAGGGATGTTAAAGGGTTAGAAGAAGAAGAAGCCATGTCTGGGGATTTCTTCTTAAGATGAAGAAGAGGAACGATGGTGGGGAGTCTTAGGTCTATTGAGGATGACGGCTAGAGTGTTGTCTAGGGTTCTAGGGTTTTGGTAGTGTGTAGATGATGAATAAAGGTTAAGGTGTAAGGGTTAAAGAAGAAGGGGTAGTGGGTTAGGTCTTGTTGGGCTTCAAAATTGGGCTCAAAGATTAAAAATTGATAAACCAACCCAAAACTCACTCTTCTTTCTAATAATAATATAAAATTTATATTATAAGAATATAAAACTAATCCTAATTAATTAAGAAAACAATATTATATTGAAAACTATTTTGGTATTTTTTCAAGATTCTATAAAAATCAAAATCCTAGTAGAATAGTGTGATAAAAATAAAGTAAACGAGTCAAATCTAGTTAAACTAGTGATATTAGATCTAAACTAAATATTTAAATGCTAAAATGTGTAAAATCTTGGGGAGGGTAAAAAATTACATGTCTATAGCTGCTCCTCTTTGACTGGAAACACGAAGAGTTTTCAGACAAAGAACGATGAGACAGGTTTTTTGACCCGACCCTTATTTAGAGAGACGAAAAAAACTAAAAGGAATCAGGCTTGACGAGACAAAATGTGATCGAGCCCTGGTATCTGAGCTGCCTACATATCCTTGGCTATAAAGGAATCAGGGCACGTGTAGTTCGATAGTGGGAACAATGATGGAGTATGCCGAGGTGGAGAGTCGATTGAAGTGACGTTCCGTCGAGGTTTTGGTCCGCTGTCCTGTTGTTACATCAAAATCAAAAAATGAAAAAGACTAACTAAGCCTGTCAGCTATGAGTTACAAAGTTCCTATCTTTAAGCCTTCTAAAGCTTGATCTTGAGTCTTGAATGGTTCTTCCTGCAGACTTTAGATTTGAACCTTAACGCTCGCTAGCTGCAGGTGCTAGTTCATTCTTCTTCAACTTTTTCGGATCAAGACCGGACATGTAGCGCTCGTGACTTCAACCACGTCTTGGGTAGTTCACATCTTTTTTCTGCTTCTGCATTTTAGATTCACTTTCATTCTTTTATTATTTTTTTGTTGGATTGAGACTACTTTTGTTGGTCATCTAGGACTGTTGACTTGCACTCTTGTTGCGAGCTTCTACTACTTCTAACTTGAATTGAATTCTGAAATGACTTCCCTCATTCTCCAGGTGGGCGCCTGCAACCAACTTAAAGCATGAAACAATTTTGAAACGAATTCCCTTATTCTCCAGGTGGGTGCCTGCAATCAATACAATAAAACAAACAGAATTTGTTGCCCCAGTTTGCACTAGGAAGATTTGTGAGTTGTTAGTAGAACCGTAAATCACTTATGTTATTGATGCAGTGATGAGAGAAAAACTAAAGACTTGACTGGGATGTGCGTCTCCTGTGAATAAAACCCAGAATGTTTGACTAGCAAGTGTGTCTGCTAAGAATAAAACCTGAATGACCCAGAATAGGAAGTACGACTCCTAGATTTAAGATTGAGCTTGCGGAAAACCAAGCTCGACTAAAGTAAAAATTGACCCTATTCTCCAGGCAGGACCCCTGATTTCAAGAAAACTAAAGATTAATAACTTAAGAAAACTAAAAATTGACATTTTTTTTCGAATCCAGACTACCCCTTTTTTAAAAAAAAAAATTTATTATCCTAGGAGAAAATTCATCAGACTAGGTTTTAATCTTAGGAGAAAAATTCATCAGACTAAGATTTTGATCCTAGGAGAAACTTCATCAGACTAGGTCTTCTTATCTTAGGAGAAAGATTCATCAGACTAAGGCATCGATCCTAGGAGAAAATTCATATGACTAGGTTTTCTATCTTAGGAAAAAAATTTATCAGACTAAGATTTTGATCATAGGAGAAAATTTATCAGACTGGGTTTCTTATTTTAGGAGAAAGATTAATCAGACTAAGACGTCGATCCTAGGAGAAAATTCATCAAACTAGGTTTTCTATCTAAGGAGAAAAATTCATCAACCTCAGATTTTGATCGTAGGAGAAAATTCATCAGACTAAGACGTTTATCCTAGGAGAAAGATTCATCAGACTAAGACGTCGATCCTAGGAGAAAATTCATCAGACTAAGACGTTTATCCTAGGAGAAAGATTCATCAGACTAGGGCTTTTTATCTTAGGAGAAAGATTCATCACATTAAGATTTTGATCCTAGGAGAAACTTCATCAGACTAGGTCTTCTTATCATAGGAGAAAGATTCATCAGACTAAGATTTTGATCCTAGGAGAAACTTCATCAGACTAGGGGTTTTATCTTAGGATAAAAATTTATCAGACTAAGATTTCTATCCTATGAGAAAGTATGACGATCAATGACAAGATTTATGTACACTAGCAAGACAAATAAAGAAAAGATTTGAGAAACTTCCTTCTGTCAGCTCTTTTCTTCTCTTCTTTTGTCTTTTTTTTTGAACCACTTTTCTTGCACTACTTTATTCCTGTATCAAACAAAGAAAACTTGTGAGTTTGAAATTCGGTGGTTAGTTTGTGGCCTTGACTACGAGGGCAATTACTCCTTCACATGCCATGATAACTTTGATTTCAATTTGAAAGACCTTGATTGCTTATTGACTAAGTACTCTCTCTCTCACCCTTATCACAGAAAATACCTCTGATCCATTTAAACCCAATACTCTCTATCTGTTGCATTGTGCTGATGGATTGACATATATAGAACCTTTGTATTTCACACGAATCCCAAAGCACGCCAATTGTTATCAAATTAGTGCGCATATTATTCTTTTCTGACTTATGCCGCTTTGATGTGTTAGCCCAATTCCGCTCTGTGCAATTGGAAAGCTGGTAGTAAATTTTGAAGTCATTTCTCACTTGTTTTGACCAAACATACTCAAAAAGAAGACTTGAACTGATCAAGAGGAATAGAGAAAGGGGACAATGGAAAGAGATGACATCTAACAAGAGAATTACCAAGTAGAAACTTATCAAATGTGGACACCAACTCCAATGACCATGACATGCATTTTGGATTAAGCAGCCTAATATGTCAAGAAAGTCTAATGTTTGACTCTTGTTGTATCTCTAAGCCATGAAACTTGGCTTCAATGCTCCGATTATCCTATATGATTCACGGTCCTTATTCGACTTGGAGTGCCCGAAGGGTTTTCTCCATCAAGCCTCTCTCATTTTGTTCTTTCTCTCAACTCACTGCCGCTTTATGGTGCCTGTGAAGGATTTCACCAATAAGACTCTCTCATTTTATCATTTTCTCTCTTTGTGCTGAGAACGATGTATTACCCATGATATAAGAAGATTATATTTTTACCACACACTTGATTTGGCATTCTCGAAGATTGGTCGGAAGGTCTTTTTTGGACCGTAATGTAGGCTTTGGAAAGGGTCGGAAAGAAAGGGTGGCATGAAGGCTTAAAATAATTTAAGATGGAAGGGTTCAAAATTACAACTTTTGAAATCTAGTCTATTGGCCAAATTAAAACTTCTGCTCCAATTTCTTAGAGTTTGGGGAATATTTTTTTTGTGATTTTTGTTTTTTGTTTGGATTTTTGCTTTGATGGGATTTTTAAGAAAAACTGTCCCGCTCTTGACTTTGGGGATTATGAAATATTTTTTTTGGTGTGACCGAACCGCAAGGTTGCCTACGTATCTTGAGGTGGCAAGAATCAGGTCGAACGTAGTTCAAAGACAAAGTTTTTTTTCCTCTTCCTTTTCTTTCTTTTTATTCCTTTTTTTATCTTTTTTTTTTCATTTTCTTCTTTTCCTCTTTTCTTTTTCTTTTCTAGTTCCTAACTCTACTTCTGATTCCAAAAGAGGGGTATGGAACAAAACAAATTAAGGCTCAAAAGGGGTATCAAAAGATAAAAGTGTTTGAGTAGCAGAATAAAATACCTTCGTCATACCAAACTTTAAAATGGCAAGTACAAACATGCAATTGAATATAAGCAAAGAAATCATACACAGTATCTATTGATGACATCAACACAAACACAAAGTGCCGATGGGCAATACCTTTATCCCAATGAATGATCCTTTCTAGTTCGAAGCAGACTTGACACAACCTTATATTGATGTGAAAGAATGCATTTCAGCATTGACTGATTTTCCTCAAAGTGCTTGAGAGACATTTCCTTATTGTATGGTCTTATAAACCTCTTGATTTCCCAAACTAACTGCCATAGTTTCACTCAATTCAAGCTTCAAGTTATCTTAGAATGCGTGAATCTTTACTTGTTTCCTCAAATGCCTCATTTTATCATATTCAAAACTGTGTCATTAGTTCATGATTAGAATAATTTTCAAGATTAGGCTGAGAATTATGTGTGCATGTTATGTCACTAGAGTCAGCATGAAAAGAACTATAAAAGGAAAAGTGACGTAAGCAAAAACTGACTAGAACTAACAAAAAATAAGAGATTGCATTCGACAGATGGTGAAAAGGGTCAAAATAAAACAAGCAAAATGGACATGGGTTACAACCCTGGAATAATCTAAGATAACACTAGATGAGTTACTACCACTAAACGAACTAGGCAAAATAAGAAAAAGAAGGGTTTAGCCATAAGACAATATCCGGATTACAACCCTGAAATAACCCGGACAACAGAAATGACAACAAAATAAACCACCAAAACTCTTCCCTAGCTAGCCAAGAAAGGAGTGTCTTTCTAATTACAGAGCTCTACATCTTAACCACTGGGTTGCATATCAAAATTATTGGGACCTTTACTAATTTCAATATCATTAA